GCTAAAATCTTAGTCGTTTAGCATCAGACTGCTAAAAAGAGCTAGGATAAAGAACAAGTTCTTTGCATAAACTAGATAACCAACTTTATTGACATGAAAGGAAATGAAGAGACAAAAATACAATAAATAATCAGTGTAACAGAGTATACTATAATTAAGAACATGAAGCCGTATCTAATAGTCTATGAAATGTAAGCGTGACCACATGGAATAGCACTCTAATTTAAAGTTACTTAGATGTATATCAAACCTCGAATGAAAGGGCGCTTTCATCCTATGCTAAATATATGGTAGGTAAAGTAGATAAATTGGCCTGGTTCACCTTGAGAAAATCAGCAAGCATTTCCTGAACAACGTAAAAGTCTTTGTCTTTATCATCCTTTTCATCATTTAAATCATCATCTGGCCATGCATATTCAAAAATATCTTCCAGATGGACATCATCGGAGAGCCCAGCTAATGAACCAACTCGTGCGAGTAGAGCATCTGACTTGACTCGCGGCTCCTTTCGACTACCAGTACTACTTTGCGAGTCTTGTGCAATAGCCTAAGAATTATAACTCAATATACGTACCTGAAAAGAGAGTGACTCACTCCCATCGTTTGGTGGCTTCTCACTGGTTTGATCCATACTATCATTACTGTCTTCAATATTAAAAACCACGGTTTCATCATCTAGTTGATCTTTAGGAGGAGCGTGGTTTCCAAGCAAGAGTGAAGAAGCAAGGCCTCTGATCATTTAAATGAGTTAAAGATTGATGTGGTACTAATAGTGTGGAGAGGACGGTAAACAAAAGAATGAGTAACGATCATAAAGCGCAGAGGATGACGATCCGTAAGATAACACAGATAGATTTAAGTCAAAAAAAGTAAATCAACCATTTAAAATTTTTACTAAATATAAACATACTTTATGGGTTTATTTACTCTCATTTGCATTTATCTTAAAAAAGCGCGTGCGATGAATGTTCTTTAACAAGTTGTCGCACTTTTAAGGAATGTGTGACATTTTTAGGCCGGGATTATATATTCTAGCTCTATCTTCCGCTTTCATTGTTGGATTAAGCGGCGTTATTCCACTGTTGTTTTTTCCCAAAGATCCTGGAATATTCCTTAATAACAATCGTATTTTTGGTTTTCATTCATTATTATAGATGGAAAAAGGACATTGGATAGATGGCTCAGCTTTTCTGTGGGAAGCCTTCTAGGTGAAGCTTTTGTGCATCTTTTACCAGAAGCGTGGTTTAATTGTTCGGGTATAGTTATCTTCTTTTCCATACTCAAGATATCACTTTACGCTCTAGGCATCTTTGTCTCATAGTCAGTGTAATTCTATTTTATTCCA